GAAAAATGTTAAAAAAAAATTGCTCATACATAATTGTGCATAATTTTATATATAATTATATACATAAGTATTTTTTTTACACTTCTTCAAACTTGATTTTTTATAAAATAATGTAAAAATTACTCTTTTAATTATTTTTAATGTTTTTTACATTACTATTGTTATTTCTATTACATTAAAAAGTAATTTTTCAAAAGAAAGAAGAATATATGAACATGTATGGATATATTTTATATAAAATTATGTATGTTTATACATATTTCCAGTCAAAAATGATATCGAATCGATATCGATTTCATTATCATTTTTGACTGGATTTGTACATATTCATGCATGAAAAATGTTTTACCTGAATCAAAGCATAACGACAGCAATTTTGGGAGGTGCAATCTGGAAAACGTTTCGAAAGCTCTAATCCACGCAGATTAATTTAGCGAATTTTGTTTTATATTACGCATTATAATACGCATAACTCGACGCTACCTCGTATTCAGAGAAAAAATTTCTTTGTGCATGCTCTTAATAATAATTTTTGAGAAAGACGAACACAAAATATTAAGTATTATATATTCTGTACCTTCGTCTGAAATTTTCATCACTTTAATATCAAACATCGCACAAAACATTCAAATACAAAAAATTTAATAACGGAGTGATGTCATGTCAGCAAAGAAAAGACATATGTATATATCCATTGTTTTCTCACACTTCTATAATCGGCTATAGTTTATAATTATAGCTAGTAACAGACTATATACATTAAAATATGTCCGTTGATAACAATTGCTATAGCAATCTATGCTCACACATCATGTCTTCCTTATTCGCGTTGTAATACTGCATATATATATAATCTTCTGTCATTGGATAATAAATTAAATCATTAAATTAAGTCTGGAAATATAATTATCATCATAGTTTTGTAAAATAATTATTGTAAGACACATAGTTTTACATAATTTAAAGACTTTTTATTTATTAAGAGATACATAAGACAAGTTTTTTACTGATTTCAGTTAACAGATGTAAACTTTGATATTTTTCCAACAAGCAATTCTAATCATTCTATCCATTTTTATTGCATGACTTTAATAAGTATCACTAACAATAAAAAGATAATAATAAGATTTATTATAAGCACCGTATAACTGCTAAAGTTTGATTAACGCAAAAAATATATAATTATACGATATTTTTTACAGCTATATAT